TAAATAACAAGAAAAGCAGAATCCTGAATGTTTGAATATACAAAATTTTAAAGAATTTCCAATTTTTTAGAGTCGTGAAAATAATTATTTTAATATTTAAATTAATTAAAAAACCAGCTAGAAACATATTAAACTAATTACATTTGTTTCATAAAATTTTTTATTTTTATATAGATTTAGTTGCAAGATGCTTACATAATAAAATTAAAGATGCGATAAGACAAAATAGTAATACCGCATACCATTTTCAAATATCAAAATTGAAGTAAAAATAAAATAGTAGAACAATTGGCGGTCGTTGAAACTGATCCAGCACTGTATGCATGGTAATAATACATACTACCTATACTACCTGTACTACCACGTACTATGCTAACTGTACTACCATGTATGTTAGTGCTTTCACTTTAATTTATTTTTAATATATTCTCTTTTTTAAAGTTAGGTTAGGTTGCTATTTCCAGTAATGTTTTGTTATTTAGTTTGTTATTTCATGTAATAGATTTTGGTTTTCTACTGCTGTGCTGATACTTTCAGGTCTCACATGAGTTAATAATTTTTTTTATTTCATCTTATAAATTTTCTAGAAATATTCTTCCAGATGTGACATTAGCAGATCGGCGCTATCGCCACTTGGAATTTTATGTCTTATACTTTTTCCTTTCAATTTTCATTATTTTTATTTTTGCATTTATTTTTATTATATATATAGACATATTTCTCGTAAGTAATAATTCCTCGTGATCTCGCATAATTGTATCACAGTTATAATTTCTTTAGCTGCTATTTAATTTATTCCTATTTAAATATCAATTAATGGTTCTTTTCTTTTGCTAACTATTTAAGGAAAAATTATAATTAAAAAAATTAAAAGTTACTCTGAGGTAAAACCAAATACTTCGAATTTTTTTTCCACATACAACAACAAAATATCGTAATTTACCTTGAATAAATAAAAAAATGTTTGTTAAAAATTTGAAACAATACATTTTGAAGAGTATCTTTATTTGGATGCAAATAATATCTAATAGTTTGGCATGGGATTTCTTTCCTTATTTTTAATAAAGACAAAATAATATTTTTACTTTTAAATTTTTATTTCATTAAAATATGGTAGTTGAGTTGAAGTGTATAAACTGTCAAATTTTGTTTTTATGAAATATCAATATTAAATGTTTATTTATTATTCTTATTAATAAATCTTGACAATTATTTAAAATTTTAAAGCTCAAAATCTTATTTCGAAAATTTAGCTAAATTTCCTGTAAAAATTCTTTTAATAAAAATACTTTTATAAAAAAATTTTTTTTTGGTTATATAGCATATTTATTTTTAAGGACACGCAATGATTCAAGTTTTTTGTGCTTCGTTGAGTGCTTTTGTGCTTTTAAGCTTACTTCTAACATATTTGAATTCAAAATTAGTTTGAGACAATTATAAATGAGCTTAATAAATGCTATCAAAAGCACATATCTAACTTATTAGAAGAATGCTAGCTTTAAAAATTTTAAAGTAATAAGTACAGATGTAATATTCTCTAAACCATCTCATTTCTGTTTTCTTTTAAGATAATCTTATAAATAAAATATTAAGTCATTAAACACCACTATAATCATTTAAACAAATTAATTATATTTATTAATATTATTTAGAATAGCGATTAAAAAACAATTAAAACTACAAAATGTTTTAAATTCAGTTCAGCTTTTATTACTTAAAAAAATAAACTTAAGGTTTTTTTATTCAGAGCTTTCAATTTTTAAATTACACTGGTTATCATAAATTAAGGAAAATTCACAAAAATCGCGATAACTCAAGAAATTACACATGGAATTNACTTCTAACATATTTGAATTCAAAATTAGTTTGAGACAATTATAAATGAGCTTAATAAATGCTATCAAAAGCACATATCTAACTTATTAGAAGAATGCTAGCTTTAAAAATTTTAAAGTAATAAGTACAGATGTAATATTCTCTAAACCATCTCATTTCTGTTTTCTTTTAAGATAATCTTATAAATAAAATATTAAGTCATTAAACACCACTATAATCATTTAAACAAATTAATTATATTTATTAATATTATTTAGAATAGCGATTAAAAAACAATTAGAACTACAAAATGTTTTAAATTCAGTTCAGCTTTTATTACTTAAAAAATAAACTTAAGGTTTTTTTATTCAGAGCTTTCAATTTTTAAATTAGTTAAAAAATATTTTATAACTATTAAAAAAATATAACATCTTTTGCTATTCAAAATTGTGAATTCAAAAATGCACTAAACGTACTAAAAACATTTTATCATCAGGTTCTTTAAATAGTAATCACGAATGGAAATTCTTGCACTTAATTTAAATTTATAATTATAAAATCAAATAGATATAAATAATTACATTTACAATATTATTTAAAGTTATTTTTTTTTTCATTGATTAACACTAAATTTTTTTGAAGCTAAATTATTTCATATAAAACGCAATAAATAGCATGAAATTTTATACTTTAGTAAAATCAACTGAATTTGTTCCCTTTTCATATTAGCAGTTATGAATATGTAATGTTGTAAAAACTTTGAATAAATACAAATATCAAATAATGTTTACATAGTTAGCTAAATACGAATTACATGATCCAATCTAGAAAAAAAAAATCGGTAATAGTTTTTTAAAAAAAATTAAGTCAAGTAGATGATGATTATATAGAATGATCTCGCAAGAAATCAAGAATAAGAGAGAAAAGATTAAAAAAAGTGACAGTTCTTTAAATGAAATATGATGATAATGCCATCGCTCCTGATTATCATCAAATTTGGGAATTCCGAAACTACTTGGCGGCACCGAAACCTAAAGACGATAAACAGATGGTTCGATTGAGGGAGGGATTCGATAGATGTTTCTTATTAATGAGAGGTTTCGATTTCAGCTTCTCCGTTTTATTTATTTTGTTCTCATAATATCTTTTCATTTTTCTAGCATTACATTAATTTTAATTTTATTCTTCTTTTTATTTCCATATATTTTTCTATTTTTCTACATATTTTTCTATAAATTATTGTTAAAAAAACATTACGTTTATGAATCATTGCTTTATCCCTAAATTCCCATGTGTGAATATTTTCATTAAATTTAATTGTCTACATAACTAGGTTAATGTTTTCGTTATGCATAAAAATTGATATCGATTGTTACTTCAAGAAAAAACTTTTTCTTGTTTCATTTTGTCCTATTGTAAAACAGGTGCACTGTAAAAAATTTCGGAACGAAGTACGGAAAAAACTCCGGCACCCTGGGTGCATAAACAGTGTAATTAGTTTTACCGCAAAATTTTGTACCAAACATTTTACAGCAATAATTATTAACTACATTGATTTTACATTAAATATTACTGTAAAAATTACTGTATATCAGATTTTTTGTTCCGTAAAACTTTACAACAAAATAGATTTTACGGTAAAAAGTAAAGGCACCTTGGGTGCTGATACATTTTACCGTAATTTCATCCGGAATTTTTTGACAGAGTAAAAAGTTTATATAATCCAAAATATGCCACAAGAAACATTGCAATAATGTTTCATACGAGCTACAAATATCGTAGAAAACATTCCACAAGTCCCAAAAATGTTTCTGAAATGTAATTTTGTAAAAGTTTTATTTTAATTGACAAGATAAGGAAGGAAAGTTTTAAAATATATTCAATACATGTAAAAGAAAACGGACATTCCTACGTTTCTGGAACTTTTTTAAACGTTTTTGTACCAATTGTTACTTATCTAAAACCTAACTTCGACGTTTTGATATGAATGTTAAAGGGGTGCTTCGCAACCTTCATTATGATTGCTTTTTAAAGTGATTTATACAACATTTTTTGGTGTCAAAAACTGTGAGAATAATAAAATTTAACTTTTTCTTACAAAAATATATAAATTAAGAGGTTTCCAATAATTTTTGATATTAATTCCCTCTTTTAAAATTACTCTTGGTGTTATTTACGCTAAGTCTCATTTGAATACATATAACTTAAATAAACTCAGCTTATGAAGGTAAAATTATATTAATATTTTTTGTTAAAATTACTCTTGGTGTTATTTACACTAAGTCTAATTTTTATTAACTTTTAGAAATTTAATTTTTTTAACAAAATTAAAAAGTAGCCGTTGGGGACGTAACACAATGAATCACGTCCGTAGTAGCCAATTTTTAATTTTAAAAAATGAGCAAATTTTTGAGGGAATAGGAGAAAGAAAATAGGAGGAAGTATATGAGGAAATTGGAGTAAGAGTAAATGACATCAAGACTTATTTTAAAAGAAATTATTAAAACCAATTTTTTTTTTAATTCTTTAAAGCATTTAATGTCAATAAATGTTATGTCTGGAGTAAATTAATGCAAAAGTCAAATTTTTATAAGAAAGGGTTTCAATATAAAATAGTTATTTTGTGTACAGCTTTACGATACTTCGATACCTTTTCAAAGCTCATTTTTATCATACTTGTTATAATGTGAATTAAGAGTTATTTTTTTACTAAGTCCCCCTATTAATTTATAATCCATAGATTCCTAAATTTATAATTACTTTTTAATTTCACTGCAAAGAGCTTGTCATTGTAATAAAGATTCGTGTGATAATTTTGCAATGAAAAAGAAATTTTTTCAGTCCCTCAGCGCTAATTATTTCGATTTATCACAAGACGTTATTCATATTTCAAAACGTTTTTAAATTTACACTAATTACAAGCAAAAATTTAAATTGACGTTTTGAGATGAAAATCGAAGAAGTTTAAGGGGGGGGGGGCTAAAATGATCGTAAAAAAATATTCTAAAAATGCTGCAAAAGAAAAGAAGATGCGGCACTTAAAATGCAGCAACGCGCAATTGAGATTTCCTGTTTCTGGCAGCGAGAAGCATTTCGTTCAATTGGCCAAGCAAAACACACACAACCATGCAGATAACTACTACAACAGGGTTTCAAGGGTGATAAAAAATAATATTTTCGCTCACCAGATAAAATCTTTGCAGTGAGAGCAGAACGTCGGCTGCTTGAAGAACCTCGGTATAAATTTGTGATTTTTTATAACTGAAACGTTCTTTTTCTTCAAAGCCCCTTTCCTTATGCGGGCTATTTGGAAATAGCTCGGCGCTTGCATCTCGCATTCGTCTGCCATCTTGGCCAAACGAGACAATCTCACCCACTGAAAATCGTTTTCTGCTGCAGCACGGCGATAGAGAGAGCGAGAGGAACTCGTTTATTTTCACTTCCCCCACCAAAACGCTCGCCAAACGGTTTTCGAAGATAATCGCCAACTTTTGCATTGGCGGCGGAAAGAAGATTTGGCGAGCGCGCCGACGCGATCATTTCGCAATTTTAAGCACTGCATTCATAAAATTCCAATCGATTTTTTGAAAGAGATGACAAATTAAAAGGACCCTCCATGCGCCCACGCGGAATTCTCCACAACCAGCATGATACATAAAGAGATGAAAATTTATCCTCCCCCCCCCCTGGTTGTGATTGTGACAGATATGATTTGGTTTGATTTTTTTTCGATCTGTAAAAGAAAAACGTTTTATATGATAGATAATAGAACGATTGATAGTTGTTTTTCATGCTATTTCATTGTGGATTATTAACTCTTCATTTTCACGTAATATTTTAAGGTGACATTTTAAACACGAAATTTGAATTTTCAAGAAAAATTAAATGTGTATCATAAAAATGTCATTGCATATAAATTAATTTGTTCACTTAAAATCCTCGAATGGCTTGCTTGCTTTAACAATCTACTTTCATGGTTGATAAGGGGCTTGACGAGGAAAAGCTTTTAAAGCGTTTCAAAAGCTTAGTACAAAATTTTTCTTCTTAAATTGAGCTACAAAACGCTTTTAAAAATATTTATCAAAAAAAATTGAGTGATACCATTCTAAGTAACATAAAATGTCAATTATTCCATCTATTACATGTAATGTCTTCAGTGGATTTTAGAACTTTTCCATACATAATAATCTTGAGGGTATATACATGCAAAAATCAAAGCTTCATCAAAAATTTAATTTTTAATCAAAAATTTTGAAAATAATATTATTTAAAAATGTGCAATAACTCTGTTATTTTTTTTTCCATTGAGAACTGATTATTTTCTTATTATGAACCATAACTTTCTGATTCTTTTAAAGATTTTAAAGAAAAGTTTTTATGATGGACATGTCAAAAACGTATTTAATCTATAATAATAATTTTTATGATACATTTTAGTAAAGAAATTTGTCCGAAAGTTAATCTTTAACAAAAATATATTTAAAAATATGAAATAAGATTTTAAAAAGAAATTTTTAGAATGAACCAGCGAAAAAAATTTTTTTTCTAAATATAGAATTTTTGATGATAAATGATAAAATAAAAAACTTAATTCAAGGTGTGCTTAAAATTTTTAAGATGCAACTTATCAGTAACCACCAGAATCTTTAAAGAACCCCTCCCTGTTCTTGATATCCCTTCAGTCGAAAATATCCCACCTAACTTTTTTTGGATTTTTTCCTCCTGGTGCGTAGTTTCTCCTTTAAGCATGTGGAATAAAAGCGATTGTATTGCAGTAAAACAACTTTACATGACACGAAAGGGGGAAAATGAAAATTTGTTACGAGACATGAACAAAAATAAATTGGTTCTTTTTTTACCTCTTTGCAATATAAAATGATATTCGTGTCTATTGTTTGATTTTTTTTATTTCATTTTATTATTTACCTTATACTTTTGTGCAGTGTAGAATAATATTCGTGGTTGATGCTTGGAACTAAATAATATTTTTTAATTCCGTTTTATTTTATTTAATTTCTCTGCTTGTACATTTTTTTTTACTTAACTCATTTTTAATTCCTCTTTAATTTTCGTTACTTTTTTGTTTGCTTTTCTTTCTCTGTAAAAACACATTTAAAATTTATTATTCGAAAGACAAAAAAAAATTGTTCTAAGAAACTAAAACCTACAATTAGTAAATCATAAGAACAGAATATATTAGTTTCGCATCAGACATAGGAATACGTAGTTTCATATCAGATTAATTTCATAGTTCATCTGTTTCACACACTGTAAAAAAATTCCGAATTAAATTACCGTAAAAAGTAACGGGATGCCAGCAATCAGGGTGCCAGTACTTTTGGCCGTAGAAATCATCTTTACAGTAAAGTTTTACGGAGCAAAAAAGGTTGTTGTACCGTAATTTTACAGTAATATTTACTGTAAAATTACAGTGATTAAATAAATAAAGTAAAAATTATGGTAAAATGGATTTTTATGGATGTTGTATTTAGGGTGTTAGTATTTTCTTCGGAAATTTGATTCAGAATTTTTTTACAGTGAATTTCATTTCAGATGTAGTTTCAGACCAGATTATATAAAAAAAATAATTATTAAAGAACTAAGATAATATATAGTTAAGAAAATAATTCTGTATATAATTTAAATAGTTTTGAGATCAAATTATTATGGTATTGTCGTCAAATAAGTATAAAAATTTGTTCTGCTGAGATCAACATTTAAAGTTGTCTTGTTTTTCAAGGTTTTTCCCAAAACCTGTACCTAGTTGTTACGTTATATGAATGGTCGCCCACTGTAAACAATTCCTGATCAAATTGCGGTATTAAGTACTGGCATTTCGAATGCACCTCCCGTAAAATATTATACCGCCATTTTTTACAATAATATGTAGTTAATTAGAGTGATTCAATGATTTTTCAGCAATTATTGCTATAAAATTACGGTATATCAAATTCTTTGTTCATAACATGTTCCATCAAAAATGAACTTTACTGTACAGTGCAGGTACTTTTTACAGTAATATGTAGTTAATTAGAATGATTCAATGATTTTTCAGCAATTATTGCTATAAAATTACGGTATATCAAATTCTTTGTTCATTACATGTTCCATCAAAAATGAACTTTACTGTACAGTGCCGGTACTTTTTACAGTAATATGTAGTTAATTAGAATGATTCAATGATTTTTCAGCTATTATTGCTGTAAAATTACGGTATATCAAATTCTTTGTTCATAACATGTTCCATCAAAAATGAACTTTACTGTACAGTGCCGGTACTTTTTACCGTAATTTTTTATAGTTTGTGCGTCGAGCATAGTATGCATTTTCTGATTAATTCCGGAAGGACTCTTTGAATACATTAATTAATTAACGTTACTAGTTAATTAAGTAACGAAATAAGTTATTAACATTTTTTTTACCCTACCTTAAAAAAAGAAAAAGAAAAAACAAATTGATATTTTTTTTATTTTAAAAATATGGAGAGGGCGGTCACCGTAACCTTATGTGGTTCTAAGTTTGAGTACCTTAATGTTACTTTTACGTTCAGCGTTTTTTATTACATCTTTGAAACCAATTGCGTGAATTGTAACAAAAAATAATATTAAAATGGACATATTTTAAAATTTGTGTGCCCATTCGTCTTGGACATCGCAAATTTAAATGCAAACTTGAAAAGATCGAATTGTTTCCTAAATATTAAAATCGCAAGGCATTATGATAATGCAGCATTATGATCTGTGAAAAAATTTAGTAAACGTAGCGAAATTTGGTATTTTTTTGTCGAATTGTTTCCTAAAAATTAAAATTCATCAAAAAATTCATGAAATTGGTGAAAACATTCAATCGTTTGTCAAGATTCATTTGTTGATATTTCAGATTAAGTCATTTAAATTATATTGTTAAAGTTTCTGCGGATATTCAAAACGTTTTGCTTATTAATACATTAATAAATAGAAATTAATTTTAAATATTTTCTGAGTGAGTACGATTTTTTTTCCTAATTTCTTGGTTTAAATTCTCATTTGTACTAATTAATTAATATGCTTAACATGATCCCAAACCTTTAAGATTGCAATTTAAGGCATGAAAATCAGATGATTATATCAAAAATTTAAATGATTCATTTATTTTATTTTGTTACAGTCTATAACAGTCTACATTACAAGTTATATAGATTGTTATTTTCAATACAGTTCTACGGAACTAATATTTTTGCTTAGTTACACAGAAAGCTACTTTTCGTTTTAAATTCTAAGAATAAACGAAGAAGATGCTATGAATTTTAAAAATTGCTGAAAGGTTAAGAACACGAAGAAAAAAAATTCCGGTAAAATTTCCTTACTGTATAGTAAAGACATTTCTGGCAAAAATAAAATCAATATATATGGGGTTTAAACTATTCATTCGATTATTTTTTCCGTTTATATGGTAAATGGGTTTTATGCCATGTTCAAGAAATCATGATGAAATTACCAAATTTTACCACATTCACCAACTTTTATAACATATTATAAAATCATATTTTATTAATTTTACCAAAATCATTACCAAACCACCTCGGTAAAAATTAACAAAGTGGTTTTTTTTTTTGTGTTCCCATAGAACCAGAAGCACGGTGAATTTTGCCATATTCTGGTAATTTTATCCATACTTTTTTTCTCAGTGATCATATCGTAAAAATATTTAAGATTACGATTGCTATGCAATTGAAAAAACAACGTAAACCATACTCTAACAAGATTGCCAACTTTCTACGTTTTTTGCAAATATTTATTCTAGTGGTAGCCATGTTTATGTTCTCATGTATTATTCATTAAAATTTATTTTGCTCACCATTACGCATAACTGATTTAAATGTTCAAATGTAATACCAATTTGTTCCAGCTCTTTCATGGTGAGTCTTTTAAAATGTTGGCATATTACGAAAAATTCTGGAGGCTTTGGTTTTTAAATGTCTACCACTCTATAAAATATTTTGCAAAACGCGTAGTAGTTGGCAGGCCAGATTTATATTTATTTTTTATGCTAATTTCAACAGCGAGGCATCTTTACGGTAAAAAATTGTTTTCAAGCGTGATCCTTCCTTTTAAGAATTTAATGCCTTAAAACGTCATAATGTATATTCTTAAACGTCAAACGTTATAAAATTTGTTTACTAATAATACTCTATTTATTGCAACATATTTTCCTTGAATATTTACCAGTTAAAAAGTTTAATCCCATTTGAAAAATAATAGTATCAGATTTAAAGTGTTTTTCAATAAATTATAATTTTGGAGCTTCCGAGTAATATGCTTATAAAAATATACACATATATATAGACATCTGTTAATTAATATATTTTTTCACTTAAGTAGATAAAAGTGAGGAAATTATTTTACAATAAAACTTCGATCCCATGCAAATATTCATTACTAACAATAGGTACAGGAATGCGG